GTAGCTTTCAGAGAAGAGTCAGGGCCTTACTGCAGCAAAGAGTTGCCTTCTCTTAAACTGACACATACAAAATGTTAACTATATAAAATTAGACATCATGATTATAGATTAAGAGCATTTGCAGATGACTTGGTTGTTACCTTAACTCAACCAGTACAATCAGCTATAGGTTTAATGGATATAATTAGCCAATATGGACAAATGTCTGGATTTAAAATAAATAAACAAAAAACAAAGATAATAACTAAAAACATGATGGCAAAGCAAAATGAAGAACTAGAAAGACTAACAGGATTTGAAATAGTAAAAAAGGTTAAATATCCAGGGGTATATATCACAGCCTCAAATGTAAAATTATATAAAAATAATTATGAAATGTTATGGCAAAAAATACAGAAAGAGATGGAGAATTGGGGAAAACTACAATTATCTCTGTTGGGAAGAATAGCAGCAATAAAAATGAATGTTCTACCTAGGTTTCTATTTTTGTTCCAAATGATACCAATACTCAAGAAAGATGAAAATCTGAGGGAATGGCAGAAGGGTATTAATAAATTTGTCTGGGCAGGGAAAAGACCGGGAATAAAGTTAAAAATAATGCAAGATATACATGAAAGAGGAGGTCTTTAAATGCCTAATTTAAGATTATACTATGAAGCAGCTGTCCTAACAATAATTAGTGACTGGATTAATTCAACAGAAGAAAGAATATTGAATATTGAAGGATATGATTTGTTATATGGCTGGCATGCTTACTTATTATATGACAAAAAGGTGGATAAGACCTTTAAAAGCCATATACTAAGGAATGCCTTGTTACGAATTTGGAAGAAGTATCAATATAAGCAGTGATGGGATTCAGCCAGTTCACACCACTTCGGGAGAACCGGTTGTTAACTTTCTGAGCAGTTTGGTGAACTGGTTGTTGGAAGAAATCATTAGGGCAGAGAACCGGTTGTTAAATTACTTGAATCCCACCACTGAATATAAGTTAAATTATGAGATACCTATATGGGCAATACCCAGACATGCGTTAGAGAATATAAGTGTAGAACAAAAGCAAGAGGTGATTACTTATAAAGAGCTTCTTAAAATGGAAGGGGGGGTATTGCAGTTAAAATCTTTAAACACATTAAAAGAAGAAAGAATAATTCAAACTTGGTTTCAGTATGGTCAGTTGCAAGCTAGATGGAAAGAAGATCAGAGAATTGGTATCATGCAGAACGAGCAAAATTTGGTAAAACAAATTAGAGACTAAGGTCAAATGCATATAAAAAGATTATACAATGTATTGATAGAAATAGATTCAGAAACGGAATTAGTTAAGGATTGTATGATAAAATGGGCACAAAATATTCAGGAACCAATAATGATGGAAACTTGGGAAAAAATATGGGTTAGAAACGTAAAATTTACGCAAGCACAAAATTTAAGAGAAAATTTTTATAAAATGTTCTATAGATGGCATTTAGATCCTAAAAAGTTGGCTTGTATGTATCCGAATTTACAATCTAAGTGTTGGAGATGTGATTGTGATGATGCTACTTATTATCATATATAGTGGACTTGTAAAAAGGTTAAAGCATTTTGGATTAAAATATGGTGGATTATCCAAAATATTCTTAAAAAGAAGATAAAGTTTACTCCACAATTGTTTTTGTTGGGTATAATCACAGATTGTACAGTTATAGAGACTAAATTGATTTTAAATTTAATAACTGCAGCTAGACTTTTGGTGGCGCAATATTGGAAGAAGGAAGATTTGCCTACTATTGAAGAATGGACATTAAAAGTAGCGAATTTGGCAGAAATGGCGAAGATTTCGGCATATTTGAAAGATCATTCACAAGAAAGATATATATCGGAATGGAGAAGAAGGATTGATTATATTCAAAACAAATATCAGACTAAGAAGTATCAAATAGCTTATGAATGAATAGAAAAATTAAGAGTATTTATGCTTAGTTAGTAAAAGGGGAGTTAAAGTGTGAAGGGGGGGATAGGAATCCTTAGTTTATTAGCTTAGTTTAGCATATGATTGTTAATTGTTATACCCTGTATTTTGTTCTGGGAAGTTCGGGAGGGGGGGTAAGGAAGGGAGGGAGGGATGGGGAAATACTTGTAAAAAATTTTTTGTTTTTTTTTTCTTTCTGTAAAACTCTTTAATAAAAAAAAAGAGTTGGAGGGCAAAAAAAAAAAGTTAACTATCAATATAAGGATTTGAAAATGTAGTGGGCACTAGCATTCCCAGATAAAAGAGGTGTCACACTTGTATGTCATAGGCTTTCTGGAACATAGGATTATAGAAATATTTCATTCAAAAGCCTGAATGAAAAACTAATATCACTTCAATTTCTATTACCTATGCAAAGGCCCGTGATGGCAAACGAGGTGGCATGAGTAGCCATATCAGTGGGCATGCGAGCTCAGCTCCGGTGGGACCAGAAGTCGGCAAATGGGCCATTTCTGGCCTCTGGAGGGCCTCCGGGTGGGTGGGTAGGGAAGGCCGTTTTCACCCTCCCCAGGCTCCTAGAAAGGCTCTGGAGCCTGGGAAAGAGCAAAAAATGGGTCTTCCAGTCCCAACGGAAGTTGGCAAACTCTGGAGGCCTCCAGGGGGTTGTGGAAAGCCGTTTCTGCCCTCCCCAAGCTCCTAGAAAGGCTCTGGAGCCTGGGGAGAGAGAAAAATGGGTCTATCGTGTCATCGCGTGCCAGGAGTGGGGGGGGTTGCACGCGCATGTGCGGGGGTGGGGCGCATAGAATTATGGGTGTGGGCACAGGTGCGCATGACCCCTCTCCCCCCCGATCCTGGCACGCGATGGCAAAAAGGTTAGCCATCACTGCAATAGGCAATTGGGGCGGGGGAGTAATAATTATAGAATGAAATTGAGATGTTTGAATCAAAACCTTCAGCTTCATGTCATGCTGCATCTGAAATCATAAATTCTGGATTCTCTCTGGAAGAATGGGCTTTTGACAAAATACCATAACTCTGGATTTTCTGTTTCCATTGGACACTATGTGAGAAGAACTCATCTATATCTGCTGAATCTTCATCTGCTGAAGCAGGAGTTAGGCAGAAACTAGGTGGCGCCTCAGGAAATCTAGTTTTTCTCAGTAAAGCAAATCTAACTTCAGGCCGGAGCTCATAAACAGATGGATTTCTTCCCTGAAATCCTCTTTAATTTGTAGTTTTATATTTCTAACTGTTGGATGTTACTGTAGCAAATATCTGCTCTCTTAATCAAATCAAGAGCCATTTGTGTCATTTTTCTTTCTACTTCTGCCGAGAAATAACTGACGTCAGGGAGAATTTCTTTCTTTTTTTGCTTGAACTACATACACCAACTGATGGGATGGTCGATGGATATTAGGGGAGACGTACATTTTCTCTGGGGTGTGTGTGAAATGTTATGTGTTTAATGTCAGATGTTGCTATCTTTGGCAAAAGTGTGAGTAGAAAGGTTGCTTCTTCCCTGCAGTTGTCTCAGCTTGTTCTGTTACAATGAAGGCTCAATTGAATCCTTCTATTAGACCTTCAGACCTCAGATGCCCCTGGCCAGTTCCTCACTGGCAGTTTATAGCACCTTCCAGCACCATCCCACCATCCTGTTGCTGAGATATCCATTATGAAGACTGGTTTTCTTATCACCACGGTGATACTCAGGTTGATGTTAGAAGATGCTATCAACCACCGGTGAAGAGGAAATGACCTGGGTGTCTCAAGTGCAATGCAACAGGAAGCCTAGACTTTAATCCCTTTCCCACTTAGATAATTCCCACCAGGCTCTGAGGCTGGTAAAAGGAGACATCAGAAATACGGAATCTCTCTGATGCTGTTGCTTCCTCCTTCTTCAGTAGCAGGGCAGCACATTCCAAGGCACGGTTTAGGAATGTTTCAGAAGGTCTCCCCAAATGTTGAAGGTCTTCCATCGGAAACTCTCACACAATAAAACCGGAGATCGGGCAGAACGGAGAACACAGCCAGACGGAGTCAGGTCTTCTCCAAGCTGCGTGACCAACGATATCGTTCCGCCTCTCTCTCTCTCTCCCGGCGCCTCCTGTTGAAAGAAACCGGGAGGGTTGCACGCACCCTCCCAGTTCGCTGCCATCTCGACTTCGATCGCTCCTTTCCCAGGTGAATTCCGCTCCGCATCCTCCCGCCGGGGATCTGCCTCTCCCGGTGCTGCATTAGGACCCAGAGAGAACTGCTCTATTCCTGGCCCAGTGCGCCTGCGCCAAGTGTCCAGAGACCGAACTAGCTGGATTAGCGGCAAGAACGACGGCGGCGGCGGCAGAGGCGGCAGCAGCTACCAGCAGCACCAGCAGCGTGTTCTCTGGCAACGGAGCCTTCAAGCACCACCTGCCAGAGCTTTCGGGCAGCGGGCGCGTGGGAGGGAAGAACAGAGGGAGAGCGAGGGCAAGGCGCGCCGATCTTCCCGTCTCTTCGCAGCACAACCCACCTGCGGCTTCAAGCCTTGCTCCAACCTGCCTGAATCGCCGGCTCCATCCAGCCTGTTGTGAAGGAGGAATAAATCGCCTTGATTTATTCCGGCTACCCGGTCCCCGCATCTCGTTCCACCTTCTGCTTCAAGACAGATATAAGCCAGCCAAGTCCTATCTTTCTCTCTCTCTCTCTCTCTCTCTTTCTCTCTCTCTGTCTCTTTCTTTCTCTCTCTCTCTCTTTCTCTCTCCTCGAGAGGCGCTTCCTTGGCGAAGGCATCGAGCGCTGTCCGTTCAGCACCACGCTACCGTAAACCCCGGCAAACCCCGTGCCTTGCGTTTCTGGCGCTTTTCTTTGCTCAATCCCAGGAGGGGCCCTCGAGGCGAGAGCTGCAGGCGCTGAGGGCCGCTTTTTGGGCTGCCGCGAAGTGTGAACCCGCATCAGCAGGGCGGGCGCCAAAGAAGACACCCAAGAGAGGAGGCGGATTTCGTGATCTTTTCTTTCAGCTGGGGGGGGGGATTATTAGATACATCTTCCCCCTCTCCCCCGCCCGCCCGCCCCAATATTAGTTGTTGCTTCATCACCTCCATCGTTTCTTTTTTCAGAGCCTTTGAATTTCACGTGCTTGTTGAATTTCTGTCCTGAAAAAAAAAAAATCGACACCAGGATTTGGATTGCTATGTGTTGAGCTCTTCTGAAGAGCTGCCTTTTTTTTTTGCGCCTGCTCCTGCCTCTAGGACTGAGGTACCGAAGGATTTTGTTCAGCGTTTTCAGGAGATTTGGTCTGCTGAACATTTGGTATCTGCCTTTTCTTCCTCCTCCTCCTCCTCCTCGCACTGTATTAATTTGTGTGCTTGTGGTGAGTGCATGTGTGGGTTGTGTCTGTAAAACCCTATTTCACTGCCCTTAGTGTCTTGTTGCAGGCCCCTATTGCCACCCTTTGCATCTTCTTTGTAGGTCAGCCGTGTGGCACTGGAGGTATTAATTGCCACAGCTCAGCAAGGAAGCAATTCCTCACCCACAACCATACTTACCTCCCTAACAAAACACCCCTCACAATCTCTGTTCGTGGAAGGAGCCTTTCATCAGCATATTCTATTTATAGGCACCTGAACCTTACATTTGCATGCTACTCTAAGAGCATGTTGATTTCCTAATAAAGAAGTTGAATCTGCCATCATTAACTTTCACTGGTACTCTTGATTTTGCATCACCTGCTGTGAAGGATATAAGTGGCTAAGAACAGTGGGCGTCTCTTGCCCACATGTCTAAGGTATCAAGTTAGTTACTGATTGCAGATGATTAGCCACCCCTTATGAGCTTGCTGTGTGTTGTGCTTGCTTGGATGATTCCACGACATGCCTAATAAGAGACGAGATGGGCCAGGGCGATGAAAGTGATCGTATTGTGATCAATGTGGGAGGGACTAGGCACCAGACTTACCGCAGCACTTTACGCACCTTGCCTGGCACCCGGCTGGCCTGGATCGCTGAGCCAGATGCCCACAGTCACTTTGACTATGACCCCCGTGCAGATGAATTCTTCTTCGATCGGCACCCAGGTGTCTTTGCCCACATCCTGAACTATTACCGAACAGGTAAGCTGCATTGCCCAGCAGATGTGTGTGGACCTCTGTATGAGGAGGAGCTAGCCTTTTGGGGCATTGATGAAACAGATGTGGAGCCTTGCTGCTGGATGACCTATAGGCAGCATCGGGATGCTGAAGAGGCCCTGGACAGTTTTGGTGGAGCACCTCTGGATAGCAGTGCTGATGATGGAGATGCAGATGGCACAGGAGACTCAGGTGATGGGGAAGAGGAGCTGGAGATGACTAAACGCCTGGCCCTGAGTGATTCCCCAGATGGAAGGCCTGGGGGCTTTTGGAAGAGGTGGCAGCCTCGGATCTGGGCACTCTTTGAGGATCCCTATTCCTCCAGATATGCAAGGGTAAGCCATACAAATCAAAACCCAGACTACTTGTTTCCAGATCCTTTAATTTGGTGTTCTTTAATCCCTATTTGTATTTCATGTCCTGCATGTTCTTGCATATACTGTACTTAGAGACAGATAAGGAACAATACTGACTCTAAGACAGACACCACACAAAGTTAGCCCTTTGGAACAAGGGCAGATACAATGGCACTTTTCTTGCTTGCTTTTTTTTTGTTTTTGTTTTTTGTTTGTTTAGGAGGAGAAAAAACATTCCAACAAGTTAAATTCTCACCAAAAAAAAGAGACACCTTCCAAAACACTTGCAAGTAATTGCTTAGAACATGTCTTGTGTCAGGATTCCTTTTTAACTTTCATTCCATTTTTCTTTCCTTTCAACAAGATTAAGAGAAATTCATTACTAAAGCTTCTTAGTGGAAGACCTGTGTCTTAAAGTTTTTGTTGTTTTTCAATGAACTGCAATGGCACTTTTATCTGATTTCCAAGACAAATGGCAGACACAATGCTCCAGACTTAGTTTTCTCAATAATAATCGCATTTTCATTTGGCTAAAGCAATTCGCATCAAGATATGCATGTAAACAATTATTTCACTATAGGGCAAGATGACTATTCTACCTTCTGCTCACCAACAGTTACAGGCAACAGAAAAGGAGTTTTATACTCAGCTTATCACTGGGATTGTGATCATGTTAGACAAAGGATTGTCAGAATAGATGTATATGGTGTTGTGAGGACATACTCCTTTGTGCTAAAATGAGAAAAGATTTTGTTCTCTTTGATGTCATCAAAACACATACTGACGTCACTGGGGGCTGGCTCAATCACATGTGGTTCTTGCTGCAGGAAATATGGAGAGAATGGAATAATGGTTGCAGGAAAAATAGGGTTAATTTTAGTATCTTTGTGGCTATATGTGTACATAATCACATACTTATAAAACTACACATGAATGCAAACCCACAATTATTCATCTGTTGTTGGCATTTCTACATTTTCCTTATGCATTATATGATAGTTTTCCCTCTCCCTCTTGCTGAGGCATGTTTTTTGGTGTCTGTCTGTCTGTATGTATGTATATCCATGCATGCATACAGAGATGCATGCATGGGCATACATGAATGGCCAAGCATGAATACAGAGAACTAATTCATTGCTTGATTGATATTTTCCATCTGGAGAAGTGGAAGGCTCTAAAGCACTTCAGAAGCAATTGTTGATTATCTAAAGATGAACAGAAAATTTGATGGGAACAACAAAATGAATTATTGGGTACATTAAACCATTTTTGTTATTTACTGGAAGCATTTTGCTCAGCCAATATCTCAGAATAACTGGTGTGGTGCCAGTTTGGCAAAAGAATAAATGAGATGTTCTGTCTGGAAGCGAGCCCCGAGATGATTTCTACACTCTCTTGTAGGTGACATTGTTTTTGTTGTGTCGTTTCTTCTGAGATTCCCTGCTGAACTTAGTGAGTTGAAAGTAGTGAATCTTTAAATAGTAGGGAACAGGAAAAGATTAATTAAATATTTACTACATCATAAAAGCAAAAAGTGTTATGAAGTAGCAACTTTTGAGTCCTAATCATCTTTCCCAGGAGAATGTGACAGTATGGAAGCCAAGCTGGGGGCCTTTTCAGGTGAATCTTGCTGGCTTTGAGCAAAATTATAGGCATAAATTGTTTTCTGTAAAATCTACCCAATGCCTTGCCTCTCTAGAGTTGCTAAATTACACATATGCATCAAGATTAGATTAGATTAATCTAATTTGCAATTGTTTATGGAAAGATCAAATTCAGTGCATTTTAGGAGAAGCTGTAGTTTGTTGCTAAAGCTCACGCTTTGTAGGCAGAAAGCTGCATTCCTAGCAGCTTCAGTTAAAAACTGTTTCAGATATTCTGGAATGTCCTGCTAGAGTATAGGTAGTCTTCAACTTATGACCTCAGTTGAGCCCAAACTTTCTGCTAAATGAGACAGTTGTTAAGTGAGTTTTGCCCCAGTTCACATCCTTTCCTGCCACAGTTGTTAAGTGAATCATTGCAGTTGTTAAGTTAGTTACATGGTTGCTAAGTGAATCTGGCTTCCCCATTGACTTTGCTCGTCAGAAGGTCACAAAATGTGATCACTTGACCCCAGGACTCTGCAACCGTCATAAATATGAGTCAGTTGACAAGTGTTTGAATTTTGATCATGTGATCATAGGGATGCTGCAACGGTCATAAATGTGAAAACTGGTCATAAGTCACTTTTTTCCATGCTGTGGTAACTTTGAACAGTTCTAAGTGTAACTAAGTGAACTGTGAACTGTTGTAAGTTGAGGACTACCTGTAGAAGGCAAAGTAGAAAGCATAAGTGAAGGTTCAAGTCACTAAAGGTTTAAGAGAGTCAGTAGAGGAGCTGTGGTCTATAATATGCATTGTTTCGTGCATTGCCTGCATCAGTTTTGATAGTTCATATTCTGGAATTCTACTTTATATTCCTTTGATATGGTAGGCATGTGATTTGATTTCTTCTGTTAATAGACCTAAACTATGTGTATATAGTCTTCATAATATTTATTAATATGCAGATTTTGCAAAGTTTCTGTAAAGAAGCATAAATGTCCATGCAGAGAGCTCAGTCTATCCTGTATGTTCACAAGCTACACATTGAAAATATAGTAATGGACACTTAACAATACTGTATATCATACAAAGATCAATCAATGAATATGTGTATAAGAGACTACTTGGATGAATGATATAATTTAGCAGCACATAGATTAACAAACCTCAACCCACCTAAAATGCCATTAAAAAGGGAAACTCATGTAGATTGCTTTTAAAACATAAAGCATACAAAATAAAGCATTTATCTAGCAAAGAGTCTCCCAAAAGTATTAGCAATAGCAATAGCCCTTAGACTTAACTCTTCATAATGCTTTATAGCCCTCCAACAATGTCAGCATATAGCCCCCAACAATCTGGGTCCTTGTTTTACCAATCTCAGAAGGCTGAGTCAAGCTTGAGCCAGTCAGGATCAAACTGCTGGCAGTTGGCAGAATTAGGTTGCAATACTGCATTCTAACCACTGCGCTGCCACAATAACTCTTTATTATATTTTTTCCAATATCTGCAGTTCACATGCATAATGATGATTATATATTTAGCTGTAACCAATTTCCAAATGGCACCCATATTCAGATAAAACTCAGATCTACGAAGTGTTTAGAGCTAAATGTGTTCTTAGATATCTGCAATGAAGCATCTTCTCTCTTATTTAGAGTTCACGGTATTTTTTAGGCTGTGGAGTTGAGTCCAAGAAAGAGATATTACAGTGCACGAAGCATAGCTGTAGTAGTAATCATCACCATTATGCTCATCCTGATATTGAATGAAATGATATAGCTTCATCCAGGCCAAAAAGAATGAGCCTTCATTATACATCTTTCCAGTATAATCTGCATTATATATTCCTGTGCAGAAAGCAGAATGTCTTGACTTTTCATTACTGACTTTCTGCAATGGATTCATCTATGGGGGACCCACTTGTCTCACCCCCTCATATTAGATAGTCAAAAGAAAGGGTTTAAGTTGAAAAACTGCTATACAAGTGTGCAGACTTGTTCTAGGGGTGTGTGTGGGGGGGGGGGGGAACCAGTTCCTGGTCAATGTAAATTGAGACATTAAGGATTTAATTTTAAGGGTTTGAATGTATTACAGATTTAATTTCAAAACCTTACATAATAGATTTCACTTTAATATCAGAGCATGTGTTACTATCTTAGGACCAAACCAATTAGTATTAAATAGATATGCTACAACCTAGGAAAACACATTCTACCTTCATCTTTGAGACAGCCACCTTCTTCTTCCTGATATATAGGCCAGCTTTGCTCCTATGGGCTGATTAGTGGTTACGAAAGACGCTATAGAGCACTACACACCAGAACAACTAGACATAAGAACAGTTTCCCCGAATGCCATCACTCTGCTAAACAAATAATTCCCTCAACACTGTCGAACTATTTATTAAGTCTGCACTACTATTAATCTTCTCATCATTCCCATCACCCATTTACTTCCACTTATGACTGTATGACTGTAACCTTGTTGCTGGTATCCTTACGATTTATATTGATGTTGTTTCCTGATTGCTTATTTGTCCCCTATGACTATCATTAAGTGTTGTGCCTTATGATTCTTGATGAACGTATCTTTTATTTTATGTACACTGAGACTTATGCGCCGAAGACAAATTCCTTGTGTGTCCAATCCCACTTGGCCAATAAAAATTCTATTCTATTCTATTCTAAATAGTTATTGTTCCTAGAAGTTGATGGAAAGGCAGGAAAGGGAGCTGGCTTAGGAAAATATGGATTAGCTAGCATCCTAAATATTGTAATTGCATCCCTTGGCTCTTTTCTTTGTGGCAAGTTCCCGTTATACTAAAAATAGAAACATTAGGACCAATGGTTGTAGCAACTGTAAGGTATCTACATTGGTAAAACCAATACCATAATAAGACACATTCCATGACACCCTGCCTCCGTAATTTGATTATCCTCCTTATTGATTCTGTTTGTCCAATCACCATCATTCTACTTCATTTCCTGGCTTGTGCGGCAGGCAAAATCTCTTCCTTCCCCTTGACCATTGCCCACAACACCTGCCCATCCACACTTGCCTTGGGAGTGGGGCAGAGTGAGCAGAGAGGAAATCCTGGGTCAGCACTTCCTAGCTAAATTAAACAGATTTCAGATCAATCTTAGCATAAATGAGCGGCTTTGGCTTTTAGGATTCCTCCCCCCACCCCCGATTTTGAGATTTTTCATCTCTTGTTCTGGGGTGAACTACTACAAGGAGAAACGTTGCACAATGTGAGAGGCCCTCGTGGACTTGCAGATAGATGGCAGCTGTGGTCAGGAGGGTTTTCGCATAACTTCACGTAACATGCCAGTTTCACCCTTTCCTGGGCTAGGAGGCGCTGCTCACGGTCACTCATGCTTTTGTCCCCTCCT